TGCCTGGCCAGTCTGGGTGAGGGGCTGAGGGCCGTTTTCAGGCTGGCCAAGCCCCCCTGACGACGGAAGCTCCTAGCCTCTCCTTTTTTTTTTTATTCTGGGATTTATTTACCTTCTATAATTGAAACTCTGTAGCCTTGAGAGGAGCTCAGAGCTGGCCAGGGCAGGCAGGAAGGAAGCTTGGCTTCCTCCATCGCCAGGGGCAACCCAAGCCTCCTGCTTGCTCCAGCTCCGTGGCTGCCGGCCGCCATCTTGGTTGGGTTAATTTGCATATAGTCGCTCTGATTGGCTGGTGGGTGTGGCTTAAAGCATAGCGAAGGTACGGTCAATTTGCATGTTTGTCTTTTATTAATGTCGATTTTGCCAATGTTCTCAAAATGTAATTCTTTTAAATATCCTGCCACTTCTCCTGGCCTGACTAAATTTTATTCATCCTTCAACTGCCAACTTGACTGTCACTTTCTTCCGTCTCCCACTTAAACTCCCAATCTAAATTAAGAACCTCTTAAATAATTATGCTAAGCAGCTATTTTTGAAGCAATTTTTAAAACTTGAAATTTATTGATGTGATTATACATTTATCTCCTCTCACAAAACTAAAGTTTATAAGAGCAAAGATCATAGATATTTTGTTTACAACTATTTAACTGAACTTAGCAGAGCCTAACATATATTAAGTGTGAATAGTTATTTCTCAAATAAATAATTCTACTATTCACAAAGTACAAAATTACATACACCTTCCTCAAGATCTGGAACTAATAGCCCCAACCCCAACTGGGCCCAGCCAGGAGGGGCCTTGCCCACGTCCATACTACAGGCCAGGAGCTTTGGGGCTGGGGCACCTGAGCCTCCCTTCCCTGGCCTTAGGGTCTTGGGTCCCTGCTCCCCTACCCAGGTTTGGTTCTTCTCAGGGGCCCCACTATGGAAATAAAAATGGGAACAGAATGGGTGAAGAGGGGCAGAAAACCTTCCTTCTTTAGCTGCCCTGAGGTCAGGGCCTCCTCCCCCTGGAGAGTCAGGGGTAGGAGGTAGGAACTCCAGGGGCTGGGTTTTTTTAAACTGGTTTTACTTTAATTTTTATTATAGTTTCAGATTTTCCATAAAGGAACCAATTCCATTTTAAATATTACAAATGGCATATCTTAAGATATGGCAGATATTAGCTGTTTCAAAAGATAAGTTTAAAAAATAATTTGAAGAATAGGCATTTTGCCCAGCCAGTGTGGCTTAGTGGTTAAGTGTGGACCCATGAACCAAGAGGTCATTGGTTAGATTCCTGGTCAGGGTACATGCCTGGGTTTCGGGCTCAATCCCCAGTACGGGGTGTTCAGAAGGCAGCCGATTGATGTTTCTCTCATCATTGTTTTTATCTCTCTATCCCTCTCCTTTACTCTCTCTCTAAAAATCAATAAAAATATATTTTTTTTAAAAAGAATAGGGCCCTAGCCGGTTTGGCTCAGTGGCTAGAGTGTCAGCTTACAGACTGAAGGGTCCCGGGTTTGATTCCAGTCAAGGGCACAAGCTCAGGTTGCGGGCTCGATCCCCATAGGCGGCGTGCAGGAGGCAGTTTATCAATGATTATCTCTTTATCATTGATGTTTCTATCTCTCCCTCTCTGAAATCAATAAAAAAATATTTTTAAAAAATAGGCATTTTGTAATAGTTTGATACCAAAGTATACAATCGGTATTTAATCTAGAAACAGACCATATGGAGACTTACTTTTATTTGATGATTTTTCATAAAATTATCCTTTTCCAATTATTACATATAATCAGAGTATTAAGAAAGATATAAGGTAATCTCTATGTCCTTTAGGCAAGAAATCAGAATCATGCTAATTACTCAGAAAATGAATTTCAGGAAAATAAAATAAAAACAATTAATAGCAATAAAAGGGAATAGCTATGAATAGGAAGTGAAATGAAATGGAGTAACCAAATTAGCATACAGATGATGAAACAGAGAGGAATTAGTCCAAGAGGATTTAAAAAATGTAATTTGGCCCTGGCCAGCATTGTTTAGTGGTTAGAGCATCGGTCTGCAAATGGAAGGGTGGCAGGTTCGACTACTGGTCAAGGGCACTTAAAATCAATCAATCAATTAATTTTTTAAAACGTGTAATTTGACTTTACTTCTGTAGTAGGGTATATGCTGAGGCAAAAAAGGATTGAAAGAAAAAGATCTGTTTTCAGTAATCATATTATTGACTAGTAACCCAGTGCACGGATTCATGCACATTGAAATGAAATTAATTAGAAGGTGGCCAGCGGGGCGGGACTGGGCGAGATGGGCCAGACACACCCTGGAGCCAACCTCCCACGGTCCCTCCCTGGCACCTGTGGAGTGAACGGGGTCCCTCTGGCAGGTGGGGTCCTTCGGCCTGGCCTGCCGGGATTGAGCCGAAACCAGCTCTCCGACATCCCCCGAGGGGTCCCGGAGTACAAAAGGGCACTCTGAAAAGTTGCTGTCGTACAGGGTGTGGAACACAAACATAGGCGTCCAGTAAACCAGATTCAGCGCGACAGTGCCCCAGCAACAATAAAACCCACGGCTGAAGGTGGAATTGTGCGGCCCCGCAAAGAATCGGGCTCCCTCCTCTCTGGTTTCGGGGTGCGTCACCCATGACGCATAAAGATGGCCCTAACTGCTCTCCCCTCCTGGCCTGATCCCCCTAACTGCCTATCTGCACTCCCCTCCTGGCCTAAAGCCCCTAACTGCCGACGTGCTCTCCCTTCCTCTCCGTGCCTTCAGACCCCAGCACAGGAGTGCTGCAAGCTCTCTGCCGAGGCCCCGCGCTTCCGCAGGGGGGGCTGCCACAGCCTGTCCTGATGCCCCCCTCTGGGCCGGGCGGCACCATGGGCCTGTGCGCACTTCCGCCGGGGGTGCCACCCCCAACAGCAGCCTCATGTCCTGGTGGCGCAAGTCCCCGCACCT